GGCCGGCCCGGGCGTCGCAGTCCGACGAGGCCGCACGGCCCCCTCCGGCCGGCCGCCTCCCTGGAGATCGCCCTCAAAATCTGCCGGCACCGAAGCCCGATTCAACCGGTCCCTCCATTTCCAGTCCCGCCCGGCTCCCCTTCACCCCCGGGGAGGCCACGGCGAGCGCAAGGCGGGCTTCGGCCAGCAAATCAAAAATCTAATTTAATCTCTTCGCGGGGAAGAGGGAGGCTCCGGGAGCCACGGGGGGGTCCCTCCGGCTCCCTCCTTAAGCAGAGATTAGCACTTGAAATAAATATCTGTAAACAGAACAAACCTGATCTCGCACTGGTTCCAGAACAACTCTCCTCCAAGTCGGGCTGCGTGTTGCTTTCCCATAACAATATTTGAATACTAAGGAAATAAGATTGCAAAATAACATGTTAATAAGTAAGTATGGGTTAAAAAGGAGATAAGAAATCAAAGGCTGGGTTTTAAATGTCCTAGCCTCTAAGCTGTTGTTCTGTAGTCTTAGCTGAGATGTGCCAGGAAGGAGGGTGACGTCTATAACCAGATTTCTGACTGGTAGTGCCACGCAGCCGGCGGCAGAGCCTGCAAGCGTTAGTAAGTACTAAGTAAGTCAGTCAGTAAGTCCTAAGAGAAGCAGTGCTTTCTGGTCCAATTTGAGAGGATTTATGCCACATTCATGTGAAGTCACGTGGGTCTCTTTTTGTTTCCATATGAGTATGGCCGGTAGCTGATAGGAAAATGGAATCGTGTGGTCTTGGGGAAGTTTAAAAAAAAAAAAAAAAAACACCACCAAGACTGTAATGGTAACATCCCTTTGTTCTGATTTCAGACCCATATTATGAAAACATTGCAGTTGTAGTCATAGCCACATATAAACTGCTGTATTCTTACCTTCTTCCCATCTAGTACTGTTGACTTCATCGGAAGCTGCTATTTTACTGAGATCTGCAAATGCAAACTGAAGAACATCGCGTGTTTGAAGTGGTAAGAATGCCATTCAGTGACACTGACTCCTCCTGCACGCTGCAATACTCTTTAACCTTCTCACTGTAGACCACTGCAGTGCAAGAGTTAAGGGATGAATGAACAGATTGCGTCCTCTATTTCAAATTTAATACTGCTTGATAGAAACTCAGCCCACTACTTCTGGGCATGGCTGCCAGTCTATTTCTGTGCAAGTCCCAAGTGGAAATGTGACAACCTTGTCAGTAGTCTGAGTATATGGGAAAGCTTGCATGCCACCTGCCTGATTAAATGTCTGCTTCAACACTGAGATAATTGTGTGAATAAGGCCGCAGTAAGAAGTAGTTACTCATATTCTAATTAATAGAACATCCTCTTGGCAGATCTAGTTGTTGCTAGCAGATGGAACATGCTGTCACTGAAGTTCTTGGAGTTCTTTTATCCTCTTTATTAATGCCTGATATTTAAGAGTAAAAACAACTCTCAAATAGCTCACAGTTATTTGAGACGATCCTTTCAGCTTCATAATCAAGACTTTTTACCTTGTTCAGCTTTAAACGGTGGGTGGTTGTGATAGGAACGTGGTATTTTATTTTTGAGACAGAAGTAGAGAAACAGGAATATCTCACCAGAGCACGTGACCGGGAAAGCAGAAAAATGGTTGCTCTAGGTTTCAACCTAGGAGAGTAGATAAGGCTTCGATATTCTCAGTCTCATTACTCCTACTACCGATACTCTCCTGTGCACAGTGCCTCTGTACAGATGGATTTGATGTGTGTCATGAACTTCGACCTTGATTCCAATGGAATCATGGACGTTCCAAAAAAAAAAAAAAATAACACCATTTGTTGGTATGTAAACTAATCTGGACTACACAATTTAGGTTACTAAATGGTTCTCTATGCCAAAGATCTAAAACTTAGATATTCTGTAACTCCTGACAGATGTTCCCTAAATATTTAAAATGCTTGTTTAACTATGTTCCCTTAACTTTATCAAAATAGGAGCATTACATAATGGTCTGGTACCGTGGCTATTTAACATTAGCTTGAGCTGGAAAAGCCAACAACATCTATCTTTTCATCAGGCATTCGTGTTGCTCATTATTTCACTTGTCTTTCTAGCGGTAACATTGTCGGTTATCATGTGATTTCTCCCTGCAAACCTTGCCTGCTGTCCTGTAATAATGGCCACTTCTGGATGTTTCATAGCCAAGCAGTCTTTGGCATCAACAGACTAGACCCTTCTGGTAAGGAACACATACGTTTCCTTCTCTTCCCTAAAATCTTGAATTCTAAGTCCTCCTTCTAATGAGGCATCTCAGTATAGTTAAAGCATATGGAGGGAGTGTAACATATGGAGGCATAAGGCAAGCGTTACTGTATTGCTAATCTAGCAAACTACTTTGGGGGAGGTAATTGTACCTACTTTTGTAAAACAAAATTTCTAAATGGAAATTTATCTTCAGAAAACTTAATCTACCCCTTTTGTGGACAGAAGTCAGGATTCTTCTGAAGCAATGTTATAACCAGCATAAGCATAGCCACCAGCTGCTATTTATAGCGGGATGTATAGCTTAACTGGGCTATTAGGCAGCTGTCCAATGGGCACTCTTTTTGGGTGAGTCATGTTGTCACTTTGACCCTATATAACTGAGTCCTCATTAGCTCAAGCTGAAGTTACAGCTCATGCTAGCTAGTTCCTTCAGCTAGGTGTTGTTTGGATGCCAAGTGTCTAGCATAATTTGCCTTGAGTCCTCAGGAATGCGGAGCGTTCTGACAAATCATTTCTCCTCCTTGCAGATGGGAGTAACTTACTGTCTAAGCCTTTCAGTGTCACCTGTGTCTCAGATCAATGCACTTAAAAATAAATCAGCCATGAGGGGATTATCAATAGCTACATGAATTAGCTATATAAATACATCTGTGGGTAGGGACTTATTCTCTGAATTGTGCTGTAAACAACACCACTGACAAGATCACTTTGGAAGAAAAATAGGAAATGGTCTAGATATATTTATCATGAACGTGATTTACCAGATTTTGCAATGATTGGAGTAGGTTTTTTTCTCTGAAAATAGACAGTTGTGCAACTTAAATAAGATCACAATCCAAAATTTTTTTTTTCTCCCCTCCTTTGTCATCTTACCTCCTCCCCACCAGGTGTGAATGTATTGCTCTGGGGCAACTTGCCAGATTTGGAGGAAAGCACAGATGAAGATATGTCCTGCATCTCTGAGGAGGAATATATCAGATAAACATCATCTATAATATACGACAGTATCTTCCCTAGATTTGTTGCATTGCTGTTTGGTTTGGACTTCTTTTCCCCTACTGGCCTGTCAGAGCTTAAACAATACAGGAAACCAGGAAATCTGGAAAACAAGCCTAAAAAAGGAAGGTATCATCCTCCTTAGACTCCTGAATCTGCCTGAATCTTCTGTCTAGAGACACACGCCTTGGTTAGATCTGGAAATGCAGATGGAAGGTAGTGAGGTCTAGGCCTGTTTTGTTGTTTTTTTTTTTACAAAAAAAACAGTTGTTAATCTTCTTTTAACTGTATTTTTTCTTCTTTCCTAAAACAGTATTCACAAAGAAAAGTCTTTCAGTTGCTGTAAGTACAGCTTAAAAGTCTTAATAGTCAATCTGGCTAATGAAGTTCTGAAAGAGCTCTGCTTTTGTGGTCACACAGGCCATTGCCTGGAGCTTCCATTCTGAGTATATGGAGTTGCTGAATAAGTGGCTTAAAGTATTGGAGCTTTGGCTCTATGATCTGGCTCTCCTGCTTCTAGCAGCTTGTTCTCTGGGCATCTGAGGCATGCTAGGATGCTCCTGAATGTGGACTGGGGAGCTACCTTGCAGAGTCTTCCCATCTTCATCTTTCAGTACTTTTAGAATCATGTTCATTTTTTTTCCCGATAAAAACCTAAGTACTGAAGTTACTTAATGTCTAATATAACTGCAATACTACACTGGCATTTTTACTAAGATCAACAATAAAATCCATCCAGTTCTAGGTGGTGGGTTTTTTTTTTTCCCTTATAGGATAGGCATCCCTCCAAAACAGAAGTCAGTCATCCAATGGGTCTTTTTGGGGGGTGATGGTAAGTGATCAGGTTAAACATTTGGTCTTCGTGCCTAACCTTGCATCCTGCAGCATCCAGACAATCTGGTTCCTGTAAGAAGTAATGGATTCAGAGCTCATTATCTGAGTTGTTACAGCCATAGTATTTAATTTATGAACTTATTCTTCAGGTGACTAGCTGACAGGGACAGGATCACCTTTAGAAAATTCAAGGTACAATCATAAGAGCACGGAGTACATTTTTAAATTTGGAGTGATGCTGAATAAATCATTCTATAGCCTCTTGTGAGAGTAGGAAGAGGTGCAATGAAGGCAGATCTGAATCATCTTAGTATTTTTACTGCACGTTATATATTTCTTAATTAATGGTACTACCTCTTCTGCATTGTTAAAGTGTATATTGGTATATATGTGTGTGTGTGTCTTGTTTTGACTTCCTGTGTTATGTCTGCTCATTAAATAAAAGTTTTGGACTATATAGTCTTCTGGGCTATAATAAATATGGATGTGTAATGATATCAGATAACCAAAACAATTAAATAGTCTAGTATTACACTAGGTGAATAATTAGGTTCTCACTAGTATGATTTTGTTTTAGACACCTCCAAAAAACCCACCTCCTTCTTAGGCTGACAAACCCGACAGTTTCTCAGTATTAAAGGGTTTAGTCAGTTAACTCTTCTCTAACACAACATCCCATTTTTTGCCAGTTTTCTATGCTGCATGAATTTGGTCATGTTGTGACTACAGTACTAAGCTGGCAAGGTGACATCTCACACAAAGATTTTTCCAACAGAATTCATGAGCTAAAAATACATCCGATTGTTTTCGTAGAAGTAGCACAATAGTTCAAATAAAATTCCCATAGTACTGCCGCGTTGCAAGTTCAACGCTTGCCCTTTATAACCTTCACAATCCCAAGTCACCTCTGTCAGTGGCAGAGCTGGCTCCAGAGCTTGTCTCCCACAGAGGAGTAGAGGGCTATAATTTCTTCACATCAAGTCAATAATTCTGGTTTTGCTCCCTATCTGTTTGTACACAGAGAACTGGAGCTCCTGCTCTGAACTACTTTAATTACACAGGCCTGTTTGAGCTAGTTTGTCTCAACCAGGCATCAGCTTGAAATAAAAAATGAGCCAGCTTTTAAGTTCAGTCTTTTTTTTTTTTTTCTTTTAAATAAAGAAGTTGTAGGTATTTTATACAAATTAAACAAACACTATCTATTGCCCCAGCTGCCATGAATATTAGCAAACAAACTAATCCTGTCTAGGGCTACTTCTGTTCTTTGGACCTGAAATTAAGAGAAGAACTGACTAAGCAGCCTGGGGTAAAGCCACTGCTCCTGATTCACAGGGCCCTCCTGTTTTGGGTTAAGTCTCCAAGGATCACCCTGCGTAGGGAAATCCTTTCCAGGGTGGTAGATATATCTAACACTAAACAGCTGGCACAAAACCAGATCAATATTTCTGGAAACGCTCCTGTGCACTTCATCCCACCCAAAGCTGCATTTGAAATAAAACAACTCGGGTCTCTCTCAGGGTTTTTTGTTTTCTCTGTACTCTTTGTCATACAAGATACGCATGTTGTAGCACAACCCCAGAACCGGTTGCAAATCATTTGGAAGGTGATGGTTGCAAGGCATTTGGTATAATAATGCTGAATATTAAGACTGATAACTGCCAGAATGAAAGTATCAGCGGGATTCACCTCCCTGATAGATCTACGGTCGGTCTGATACAGGAAAAGCTGGGGAGCTGTCGTCATCTTTGGTAAGGATTTTACAGTGAAATTTTACGTGAGCTTTGCTGTGCAGCCAACAAAGTCAAAAGCAGAGCACAAAGCTGAAAAACAAGAACCAAGTCCTAAGGCCTTTCTCTTCTGCTCATTAAGGTACACAAGGCAAGAAATTAAAGAACTTCAGTGTCTCTAGTCAGATCTGGTTTTATTCAGAAGGGACTGAACACCAGGCATAAGGTCTTCACATTTTAGACTCAGTGCTTCTGCAAGACTTCCCAAGTCCCCTGGCACCCACAGCCCAGCTGGAATCGATGCAGCCAGCCCTAACGCCCAGGGTATTGCATCTGGCACGGGGCGCCCCTCGGTCCCACAACCTGCCGGGCCCCTTCCCGGCAGCGCTGCAGCTATAAGACCTTGTGTAACACAGACTTGTAGGCTCAGGGTCACAGACTTGCTTGGAGGAAAACATTTGAAAACAGAATTCCAAAAGCCACTGAGGATAAATAACTCAGATTTGATTTTTAAATCACAGGGTCCTGTGTAATCAACGCTGCCATCGATGGTCAACCATTTTCTCTCCTGCAACGCATAATCTGCAATGCACAACAGTAGCTGGAGGGGTAGGAGAAAGGCACAGCAAGGCAGTGACAAATTGATTCCCCTTCGTATTCAATAAGACTTACTAGAAAAAGCGCATTTAAATATTCTTCATTATTCCGGTACAGATTAATGCCTAATGGTAACCTCGCATTTATGTAACACCGTTCAGCCCAAAGTGCTTTACAATGACAAACAGTTAAAAATTCTTTTAGCATTGAACTGCAGCCAACTCCAGGACGCAAAGCAGCTGCCAAGTAGACAGCATGCTGCAAGGACCATGGTAAGCATCATTCCGTAATGAAATTCAGTATGAGATCTCTATCAGTACAAACCGATCTGTTGATTACTGAGGGAGGTTCAACTTGAAAGACACTCTCTTCTTACACAGCCTGGAATGCAGTTCAGCCACTTGGAGCCAGGTGACAGATGGGTCACCTCTCCTAGGACAGAACCTGGAGTCCCAGCGTTTGAATCTGAGAAAGAGTCCTATGATAAGAGACAGAAATTACTACGCTATCATTTGTTCTCTGCTCTTCTCTCTGGTATGCAAGAGCTGGCATGCTGTTTAAAGTGGAGCAAAATGGTCATTTATTATAAACCACCCAATTACTTTGTCGTGAGAGGTCATTGTTACATATTTTATTGCGTTGTGTGGTTTCTGAAAGCATACCCCAAGGAACAGTGCATATCCCAAGTAAACAGCCTTTGTGTGCTATTATTTGGATTAAGGGAGCGTCTACAGGCGAGCGTAACAACTACTGTTGTGCAAGAAACCGTACGAGCATAGCGACGTGTCGACTCGGAGAACTTGCCCTGTGAACAAGGCAGCCAAGGGATGGTAAGGAACGGCACCATCGGCTCTATCAGAGATCAGAGGTAAAGCCCAAGCCCCATAAGCCCGAGGAGGAGACTCCTTAGTCCCAAGACTACAACAGAGAACCGAGCCTGTTCTGCAGCTATGGATCACTTCGTCCTACCACCCCGTCCTGCCCCTATTTGTAAGTCTATGAACAGATTCAGCTCTTCCAGCACACGTGCTTGACCATCTCATACCCAAAGCAAGGATCCTTCTCCACACCAGCATTTCTGGATTTCTTCTGCATTATTAGGTTTCTCTCTTGCTCTAGCATACAAAGTAGATATGGCCTCTAGCCAAAAAGCCTAGAGAGCAAACAGGTTATTCCAAACCTGTGTAGATACAGCATTCATAGAACCGAGAGATGTGCTCCTCAATTTAGGCCGTACACAAGAATGACAAGAAAGAAAAGCAGGATGCCTGCCTTGAACATCTGTGAAATTCACTCCAAGTTGTTGATGCACCACCCAAAATTCCCTCTTCTCACCAGGAAACATCCACTATGCTGTTCTCTGGAAAAGCATCAGCATTTCCAAGCAAGCTATTAGCCGGGGGGACATTTTAGCTGCTTTGCTGTCTACGGTGTCTCCTGCCATCTTGCACGCGTGACACAAGCTTAACAAAGTGAGTCTGCACTCTATTGATTTCTCATTAGAAAGCTTGCCTCACGTTTTGGACAGCAATGAGGGGAAAAAAAACCAAAAAACATCAGGGAACAAAGCTGGTCAAATAGAAGCCAAACACAATCTCTGGTGCTTCACTTCTTATGTCATCTGAATGCTGACAGCTTGATGTCTCTGGGTAATGCCACACAAGGGAAATTAGCACCATAGCACTCGTAGGCACTGCCATCTGCATGTCAACGTATGTAGAAATTTGTGCAGGCAGTTGTAAAGCAAGACCGATAAAAGAGACTTGATCTTTTGCATTGCTCTGACTACGCTTATTTCCTGGAGGAAAGTGCTAATTAAAAATAACCCAGTATCGCTCCAACGTAACTGCAGCCGCACTAGGATTCTTCCCTGCTGTGCTATGGCAGAAGCTTATTAGTTCATCCCACTCCAGCATATGGCCTGGTTTGGAGTAGGAAATTTCCACTAGCAGAGGAGATAATGCTGGAAATACAGGTGTTGGGGACTCTCATCCTAACTTACATAGGAACAGAAAACCAAAGAGAAACTGTTCCTGTGTCTACTGACCACATCT